TATTACATCTAACAGATAGCATGTATCATCTATAGTTGGGGCCTGTAAGAACTGTGTCAGGATAAACTCAACTTTCTCTTCTCCAACTTCAAAAGTTATCCTTCCTCTCTTGACATCTATAATAGCTCCAGCAGTGGCTAAAAATGGTCTTCCCAATATTATAGGGGTTACGCTGTCTTCTTTAATGTCCATAATGATGAAATCTGTAGGGATGTAAAATTGACCTATGTGTACCGAAACATTTTCTAGAATTCCCACGGGGTATTTAATAGAGCGATCCGCCAGTTGTACTGACATCTTGGTTGGTCTTAATTCTCCCATGTCAAGCTTTTTGGATATGGACAAGGGCATAACGCTTATACTAGCGCCTAAGTCGCATAGAGCTTTGTCTATGACATACTTACCTATATTTTAGGGTATAGAGAAACTTCCGGGATCCTTCAGCTTCTGAGGCATTTTGTTCTGAATGATTGCACTACACTCAGCAGTGAGTGTAATTCTCTCGTTATCCTCTATCTTTTTCTTGTTCGACAAGATTTCTTTGAGAAACTTAGCGTACAAGGGCATTTGAGTAATAGCTTCTGTGAATGGTATCGTGATGTTTAATTGTTTCAGAAGTTCAACGAATTTCTTAAATTGCCCCGCACTTCTAGATTGAGTAAGTCTTTGAGGATACGGGATTGGTGGTTTGTAAGGTGCTGGTGGCACATAAGGTTTTTCCTTTTCTTCTGTCTCTCCATCACCTACCTTCTCCTTCTCTTTTGGTTCGCTTTCCTCCTCGGTTGTTTTTCTAGAACTTTGGGACATGGTTGGGGTTTTGGCTTTAGGGTCAATTGGTCCATCGTATTCAGTTCCACTTTGCAATATAATAGCATGAGCATGTCCTTTTAGATACAGTTGAGGTTAACCTGGAAATATACAAGCAGGTGCAGTTGTAGGTGCTTGTTGTTGGGCCACTTGCGAAATTTTGGTTTCAAGCATTTCGTTATGGGTGACTAAAGCATCTACTTTGTTCACTAACTGTTTGATTTTCTCACTAGTATGAATATTTTGGTTTAGAAATTCCTTGTTAGTTTGAGCTTGGATAGCTATAAAATTCTCCATTAGAATTTCGAGGTTAGACTTCCTAGGCATATTAGGAGCATATGCAGGTGCTTTTTGATATCCTGGTGGTACAGTAGGTGCTTGGCCAGGCGCATACAACGCATTGGTGTTTTTATATGAGAAATTTGGATGATTTTTCCATCTAGGGTTGTAAGTGTTCGAGTAAGGATTTCCTTGAGCATAATGTACTTGGTCGGGGGGGAGGGGGGGGGGGGTTCTGCTAAGATTTGGCATTCAGCAGCAGCATGTCCAGGTACTCCGCATATCTCGCAATTTGGAGTTATAGCAGCCACGGTGGCTGGAGGTATTGCGGTTAAGTTATCTATCTTCTGGACGAGAGCGTCTACCTTAGCATGGACGCTATCAAGACTGCTGATCTCGTACATACCGCCTTTTGTCGGTGCTTTCTCTACAGGAGCTTTGTCTTCTTGACCTCTTTCACTCCCCCACTGATAGTGGTTTTGAGCCATACTTTCTATGAGATCATAAGCAGCAACATAGGATTTATCCATAAGTGCGCCACCTGCAGCGGCGTCTATCGTTAATCTTGTATTATATACGAGACCATTATAGAAGATATGGATGATTAACCATTCTTCTAGGCCATGATGTGGATAGAGCCTCAGCATGTCTTTGTATCTTTCTCAAGCATCAAAAAGAGACTCATTGTCCTTTTTATCGAAAATCGCTTATTTGGGATCGTAGCATAATTGTCTTACTTGGTGGGAAATATCTTGCAAGAAATACTTTCTTCAACTCATCCCAAGAGGTAACCGAGTTAGCTGGTAGAGACTGGAGCTAGGCTCGGGCTCTGTCTCTTAGGGAAAAAGGGAAAAGACGAAGCCTTACCGCCTCTTGAATGACTCCATTGTTCTTAATTGTACCTGCGTATTGCAGAAACATCGACAAATGTAGATTAGGGTCGTCCATTGACCCTCTAGAAAATTGGTTTTGTTGTACAACAGACAACAAGGAAGGTTTGAGTTCGAAGTTATTAGCCTTAATTGGAGGGGCGGCAATGTTGTTATGTGGTTCTTCTTGTGAAGGAATAACATAAGATTTGAGCGGACGTGGCTGATCACCCATGTCTAGTTCTTTAACTGGTTCGGTTGGAATAGAAGATTGAGAGAGGGATTGATATGTACGAGATACTCGTACTCGGCGTCTTCTAGTAATAGAGCACCCAGGTTCGGAAATTGGTAGCACTAAGCCTTCACCTTTAGAGCGAGTGCTTGGCATACAATTGGGAATGGTGCCTTAGTCTCTACAGCGTAAGTAAAAGAGTTACGATATCGACTTGTTAGTCCCCGGCAACGGCGCCAAAAAACTTGATCGCAACTTTGTGAGTCTTAAAGAATCTAGACCGCAAGTATACAGTCCTATCGCGTGTAGCTTTAAAAATTATCGAATCCCAAGGGACTAATGTTGATCTACCGTTATCTTAGGTTACTACGTAAATCTAAGGCTAATAATATAATAAATAGGGGGTTTAGGGAACCTAACTGATTATAATCTAGTTTATATTCAAGGGAGAATATCGGTATGTAATGGTCGAACTTCGGGGATTTAGCAACTCATTGACCTAACTCGAATTAACAAGACAATTTTTAGTAGGAAGTATTCGTTTGAAAACCCTCTTCTCACACTCTCGTGATTATTGATTCAGATCCTAAAATCAAACCTAAGTGAGTGCTCTCGCTGTGTCAATTAGAGTTTAAAAATAGTTTTTGGAAACAAACAAAACCTAATCAACTTAAAAGTGCTCTCGTTGTATTTTAAGTTGATGCACAATTACTATTGTCCAGTTATTATCTCAAACTCTCGTTTTATTGATCCTAACTTCTATTTGTATTTTACTCTCGTAACAAAATAGTTAATATTTAGAACTAGTAATTGAAACCAGAAAATTATTCTTTTTTTAAAAGGAACTGGTCAATTGGCGTTGCTAAACCCCGTTGGCTATATGACCTTACATACCGATAAATAAATTTAGCCTAGCATATTAAACGACTCAATAACAGCGCAACATAAATAATTATCATCAAACAATTTAAAAAAACAAAATATTTCAAACGATCCTGGCATAAATAAATAAAGTACTTATATTAAACCTGAAAATGATATCGCAGAATATTTGGCTCACTTCAGGTATCTCCCACAGATTGGTAAAAATAATAATAATGCAGAACGAAATAATACGGAGAATATTTTTGGCAGAGTAACAGTAAAAACAGGGAAAAGAAAAACGTTCTTAAAATAGAGATTTGAGGTCCTATTTATAGGCTTGGAGATGCGCAGGGAGTTGAGATATTTTCTCCTCCGGAATTGTCTCAGTGTAACGATCGTTACACTCCTTCTTTTGAGGGAGGGCTAGCGTGTAGGGTGTAACGGTCGGTACACTCCTGCTTTTGAGGGAGGGATGGCGTGGCAAGGTGTAACGGTGTTACACTCCCTTGGGCCAATGTGTAACGGTCGTTACACTCCCTTAGTGGATTGGGCCAACGCTTCTTTTTTAGGCTTTTTGCTTTTAGTGCACCCTATTCTACCACACACCCCTCAATGCCTAATTGCTCTTGATTAGCTTGATTTTTCTTGAGTTTTCTTTACTTTCTTCGCACATGCCTTGTAAATATTAAATTCCTGAAAACATAAAAAATACCAGCATAATACGAATAAAGAATAATTTAATTAATTAAAATACGGATAAAATTCATGTAAAATGATCCAAATATTCGATACATTTTCGGGTTATCATCAGTCTCTTTTAGAAGTTGCACAGGAGTTAACTTTGCAAATGCACAGACCCTGTCTTGCGGTAAGAACTACTAAAAAACCATGTATTAATCCATCATAGATTTGAGCATCACAATAAATATAGCACATTTAGCAATATTCCTCAAATTAGAGTTTGAGCCAACGTTAGACACCATGTTAGAATTTTGACAGAATAGAAACTGAATGAAATTGCACCGATGAAAATAAATGTTCAACCACGTATAACTGAACCAACCTAGAGCATTTATGGAGTTCTATTGATCTGCAAATTAGTGTAACTGAATAACTGTAACCAGCTGAAGTAGGTTCAGTGAGCAACATAAGTAGAAAGTTCTAGAATCCAGAGTTAAACTAATCAAACGAAAATATATCGGTTTGCAAACAGAATCATGTATTTAGATATCAAACTAAAGGTTGTAACATTAGACACTAAAAGAACAATTTCCAATTATAAGATCATATACCTCTTCAAAGTCAATTTCCTGTCACTGTAACTAAACGAAAGGAAACAATACACTCAACGAAGCCATCGGTATTCAAACACATCCAACTCCTAAAAATTCTGATGGTCGAACATATTGTCAAACACTTGACATGCATTCCATCTGAAATGTCGATTCCACAAAGAATACATATACAAATACATACATAGACATTACATATCTATTGAATCACATTACTGAGATTAGGTACAATTGACCATCAAGATGTGATTCAGAAAGGGGAAATGATAAAATCGAACCATCAACATATCAATACAGAAGATCATTCTTTAAAACCCTAAAATACTATGTTAGTTTGTATTCGGCTGCCAAGAGAAGAGGAGAACCATACTAATTTGGCAAATTCGCAATGCATATAATAATACTGCTAGAACCATTTCTCAATCACCTGATTCTAGAAACCATGTTTTCTCGATGCCTGCAACTAATCTTAGTATGGGAGTGGACTTATAGAATGCATCTTATGCTAGTAAAATTTGCTATCAATGCAAGTAAAACAATCTAACATATTAGCATCTTGCTTGTAGTGAAAAATCATTGAAACTACTTATAACACATTGGATAATCTCAAGGCCTAATGCTTCTAATGTGTTCACTATTAATAGTAATAACCTGACCTTATAGAAGAACTGATGATAATCCTCGTGTCTTGATCTTTCCTCTCAACATTAAACAAAGTAACTCTGCAAATCAAGCAACATCAAAGTCGGTATGGTTAAATTTAAATCCATGATATTAAAAACCTCTTATCTTTATTCAAAAAATGTTAGATGTAACAGGAACAGAATAGAGAAAATAGAAGTTCTGGAAATGAATGTTTATTCCTTGTGAATTGCAGTACAATAAATAGAGAATAAAACCAACGTGCTGTAACAAACTACAGCCCACTTCTAGCTAAAAATAAGGAAACAAACTTGACTAAATCAATTAACAAACTATCCTAAAAACTAGGACACTTATTTGACTAAATACTTAACATTCCCTCCCTTGAACTAGACTGCATTTGCAGCTAGTTAACATGTGACAGTTCACACACTCCAAGCCTCCTTCTTAGCTCTTGGAATAGCTCCAATTTGAGCGGTTTAGTGAAAATATCGGCTATCTGCTGTCTTGTACCACAGAACTGAAGCTGCACAACTCCATTACTCACTAGCTCTCGTAAGAAATGGTAGCGCACATCAATGTGCTTGCTCCTGCCGTGCATCACCGGATTTCTTGCCAACTTAATTGTTGAGCTATTGTCACAAAAGATGACAGTGCTCTCGCTGCCCATGTAGCCAATCTTCTTTAACACCCTTTGCATCCATATTGCTTGACAACTACTTCCTGCAGCTGCAATGAATTCAGCTTCGGTTGTGCTTAGTGTGACGATCGGTTGTTTTCGAGAAGACCAAGTCACTGCTGCTCCACTAAGCATAAAAACATAGCCCGAGGTGCTTCTTCTATCTTCCACTGATCCGGCATAATCGCTGTCAGTAAAACCAATCAACTCATGACTTCCTTCCCTTCTGTAAAGAATGCCAAACGTTGTTGTACCTTGCAAGTAACGTAGAATTCTCTTGGCTGCCGAATGATGAAGTTCTGTAGGCCTTGACATATACCTGCTTAATAAGCTTACTGTATACATTATATCCGGTCTGGTAGCAGTCAAGTACATCATGCTCCCAATCAGCTGCTTGAAGAATGAACCATCCATCTCAATACCATTTTCATCTTTGGAGATTTTGAATCCTGGAACCATTGGATTTTCAACCGAATTGCTATGCTCCATTCCAAAGCGTCTCAACACTTCCATCACGTACTTCGCCTGATTGATGAATATACCACCATCAAACTGAACTACCTCAATACCAAGAAAATACTTCATCTTACCCAAGTCCGTCATATCAAATTCCTTCATCATGGACTCTTTGAATTCAATCATCATATTTTCATCATCTCCGGTATAAATTAAATCATCAACGTACAAGCTAATGATTAAATGTTTACCTTGTTTGTTGACTTTCGTAAACAAAGTTTGCTCGCTGTCCTCCTTCCCAAAACCTTCCTTTCGGAAATATGATTCAATCCGGTTGAACCATGCTCGTGGTGCCTGCTTGAGTCCGTACAAAGCTTTGTTGAGCTTATACACCTTATGTTCCTCATTCTTTATTTCATAACCTCTTGGCTGCTCCACGTACACGTTCTCCGTTAACTTCCCGTGAAGGAAAGCTGATTTCACGTCCAACTGAAACACACACCATCTTCTTTGTGCTGCAAGTGCTAAAATAATTCGAACCGTGTCCATGCGAGCTACGGGAGCATATACTTCTTCATAATCAACTCCGTATTCTTGAGCATACCCTTTTGCGACCAAGCGAGCCTTGTGTTTATCCACTTCTCCGAGCTCATTCAATTTTGTCTTGTACACCCATTTGACTCCTATTCTTTTAGCTCCAATAGGCAGCTCAATAAGATCCCACGTTCCATTCTTCTCAATTGATCTCATTTCGGCATCCATGGTTGTTCTCCATTTCTCCTCCTTTACTGCTTCGTCAAATGAAATTGGATCAGAATGAATAGCACTAGCAAACAAGGCTAAGTGAGTTTGTACCTCTTCCCCTTCATCTGAAAGACCCTCACCAGAGACATAATCACTCAAATATGCTGGTGCTCTTCTAACTCGGGGTGTTATCGGAGGAGCCGCTTCATCTTCTTCATTGCCATCACTGGATTCATCCCTCACCGGAGAAGCTACGTTTTCTTCTTCATTACCATCGTCGGAATCCTCCACCTCTTCACCGTTGTCATCTTCCCATTCCAAATCAAATGTGTTATCTTCTTCAGATTTCTTCTCCCAATTCCACTGCCCATCTTCTTTAAAGGCGACATCGCGGCTGATAATAATCCTCTTAGAGGTCGGATCATATAGTCGATATGCCTTTGATTCTGTACTTACACCAAAAAAGACACAACAACGACTCTTATCTTCAAGCTTTGTTCGCCGAGCATCCGGTACGTGAGCATATGCTATACAACCAAAGACTCTCAAGTGCGTAACTGAAGGTATCACCCCATACCAAGCTTCCTCTGGCGTCGTTTCCTTCATCGATGATGTTGGACATCTATTGAGAACATAGAGTGCCCAGTTTACCGCCTCTGCCCAGAATTTTCTTGGAACATTTTTCTCAACCAATAAGCTCCTCACCATATTCATCACGGTTCTATTTTTCCGCTCGGCGACTCCGTTCTGCTGCGGTGTATATGCAGCAGTTAATTGCCTCTTGATTCCATTCATTTTACAATATTCCTTGAACTCGTCAGATGTGAATTCACCTCCACGATCTGTTCTTAAACATTTAATGGACAGTTCTGTTTCTTTTTCAACAAGAGCTTTAAACAACTTGAAGGTAGTGAATGCATCTGACTTGCAAGAGAGAAAATACACCCACGCCTTCCTACTGTAGTCATCAATAAAGCAAATGAAATACCTCTTGTTTCCCTCTGAAGACGGAGAAATTGGGCCGCAAATATCAGCATGAACCAGCTCCAATTTTTTCGACGCTCTCCATGTACTTCTCCTTGGGATTACATCTCGATGTTGTTTCCCTTTCAAGCAATTTGTGCATACAATTTCACCCTTCGGGAAACTTGGCAGGCCTCTCACCATGCTTTTTGTTTGCAAAGTCTTCAACCCTTTGTAGCTGAGATGACCAAATCTTCGGTGCCAGAGGTGAGCCACATCTTCGGTGTCGTCGGTTGTTGCTTGGAAACACTCTTCTTTGCTTTCACTTTTGATTGATTTAGTGCTCGAAAACAACACAAACATTCGATTTGCTGCCATGTTGGTTTGGAATACCAAACCCTTTGTGCGGTGATAAATGCGACACTCATTTGACTGCATTAGTACAGCAAAACCCCTTTCTTGTAGCTGCCCAACACTGAGAAGATTATTCTTCAAACCGGGAACATAATAGACATCCCGTACAAGGTGGTTTACTCCTTTTATTGTCAATCGAACACTTCCTTTTCCGGAAACATTCATGCTTGCATAATTCCCCAATCTAACCACCTTGTTGAACCCTTCTTCTAACTCACAAAAGAGTGAAGAATCACCACACATGTGATTGCTGCACCCATAATCAATATACCACATAACATCTCGAGCGTCTCCAAGCGTGTCGACATACGCCATTAGCACCATCTCTTCAGATTCCTCCAAACCAGCATAATTTGCTTGGCACTCGTACTGGAAGTGTCCAAGCTTATGACATTTGTAACACTCAACTGTTTCCTTACTCCTCAATTGGTTGCCCCTACCTCTGCCTTGTCCCCGACCTCCTCGAAAAGTAGCTCTTCCTCGCCCTCTTCCACCATAGCTCTCTTCATGAGTTACCTTCAAAGCATGTTCCTCTTCTTCACTTACTTTGAATTTTTGCTCATGAACGAGCAGAGAACTTTGCAAGGCATCCACAGATAGTTGATCTATGTCCTTGGCTTCTTCAATGGAACAAACAATATAATTCCATTTCTCAGTGAGGGTTCTCAAAATCTTCTCAACGATCTTGACATCATCCACCTCTTCTCCATAATTCCTCATGTCGTTTGCAACCGTCATAACTCGACCAAAATAATCAGTGATCGATTCACCTTGCTTCATTGCTAGGACCTCAAAGTCCCGCCGTAGACGATTGAGCTGAGCTCTTTTCACTCGAGCATTGCCTCGACACTTCAACTTCATGGAGTCCCAGAGCTTTTTAGATGTCTCCTTCTGCGTGATCGTCTTCAGAATTGACTTGTCAAGTGACTGAAACAAGTAATTCTTAGCCTTCAAATCCTTCAGCTTCATCTCCTCCAGGTTCTTTATTTGCTCTGCCGTCATTCCATCTCTACTCTCCGGCTCTGTGTAGCCTGATTCAACAGCAACCCAATATTCCTTGGATCGAAGGAGATTCTCCATGACCATGCTCCAATGATCGTAGTCGCCGTCGAACTTCGGAATGGAGGCTGCTGCAAAATTTGCTTCTGAACCCATCTCTTAGGTCACTGCTCTGATACCAGAATGTTAGATGTAACAGGAACAGAATAGAGAAAATAGAAGTTCTGGAAATGAATGTTTATTCCTTGTGAATTGCAGTACAATAAATAGAGAATAAAACCAACGTGCTGTAACAAACTACAACCCACTTCTAGCTAAAAATAAGGAAACAAACTTGACTAAATCAATTAACAAACTATCCTAAAAACTAGGACACTTATTTGACTAAATACTTAACAAAAAAAGCATACATCAATAAAAAAACAACGACCGAAGCCACTTCGTCTGCACAGATATTTCACAAGAAATGCCCTCTAAATTCTGTTCTTTTCTCAATAGCAAATATATCACAAACCTAAGTGAAGAAGAAAAACCATATTATCATAAAGTTATTTACAAATACTAAAATCAAGTCTCACTAACCAAGTGAAGACTTTGAATCTTCAAATCGTGAGGGACAAGATGCATCTACAACAAATACTACAACATGTTCCTCTTCATAATATTTCTTCCAGATTGAGCAAAGACCAAGCTGATAAGTGGGGAAATTACATTAACATATTATTATATGAAAATGGACATAATGATAGCAAGATCAGTATACAGAAGATCAAGTATGAGATTTGCATCAAATGATATAGTCGATTCATGCTAGGCTTACAGTAAAAAATGAAGTACTGAATCAATTGTCCATGCATATTAGAATATTTTTTCAATTACAAAACCTCCTTCAACATTGCCAATTGAACCAATAAAACTCAAGTTTCAGTCATAAAAGGGTAAAATTAATAGTCCAAATTACATAGAGACAAAATAATTAGTAACACGCAATGATGTCAATCATAACCTACTGCAGAAAATTTATCTTTCATTTTCTGAACACTTGCTTTCTCCCAAATTGGAATTCTCCCTGCTGGATCCAGCTCTCGAGACCAATAGAATATCGACATCAAAGTTCAAGAAATACGATGATATAAGAATTGCAGAAACTTTATCGTAAACTATATCCTTGTTGTACCAAATTGGCAAAAACATATAATTCCAGAAAAATCATCACTTTCAATAATAAATACAAACACCAATACGAAAAAATGACGTGTACAAAACGCAATGAAACAAAACATTGACCTATACCTCGAGCGTTTTCTAATCGTTGTAGTGGGTTCGATGTCGGAAACCTCGGACATTGAAAAAACAACAACATAATTAGACATTGAAAAAATAGTTTTGAGATCCTTAATTTGAATTCAGAAACACGTCATCCTCAATTTTGAGATCCCTAATCTGAATCAACCCACCGATCTACCATCATAATACCGCACATCATCATAAAATCGCTGAAACTTTCATAGTCGACATTGTCTTCACAATTCTGATTGATTCATGAAACCCTTTCTTGATTTCACTTTGAACCATTCTTTTGATTTTTGTTTGTAAGAGAGATAGGAGTGACTTTTCAAAGAATAACCTGGAAGAAGAAAGAGAGATGTAGCAAAAAGATGGAAGTTGAACGGTTGTAGTCTAATAAGTGAGGAACCGTTTTCGTTATTGGAAGTGAAATAGTTACTGAAAAGGAGATGAAAGAATAAAAAGAAGAAACGTCAATTGATAGCGTGAAACAGTTGTGGAAAAATAAAAAACAATTATTTTGGCATAGAAATCAAAGAAATCCACGTATTGTATTTTTGGAACAAAAGGACAAAATAAGAAGTTTGGGTAAATTCACTTTTCTTATATTATATATTTAATCTAGTATTTCGTTTTGTTTTCATTAAGTAGGTATTTTCATAAAAAAATGTTTTTGTATTTTCTTTTTTTAAAATTTTGTTTTAATTAACAATTTTTTTTTGGGTGGAGCATGCGCTAAATACTTAAAATGATTTTTAATATAAAATAATATATTGATAATCATTTTAATGTTTTAGTTTTTTTTTTATTTAGTCTTAATTTATAGTAAGTAATTCTTAATCCTTTTTTCCGATTTTAACTAATCTTTTAAAAATGAGGTTGATATGTCTAAGTTGAGTTGTCGATCTCTTGACCCTCCTTTTATCTTTGATTTATCTTTTTTATGTCTTTTTGATTTTCTACAAAGGTCGGGTAACATGAAACTTGTCCCTAATTTTGTGATAAATATTTTTTAATTTATTCTATAGGGTTGGGAGTAAAACACTCAAACATGAAGAACTAGAAAAAGAGCATTGAGTCAAAAAGTAAAAGAAGCATGATCGTAAAGAATATGTTATGCATAAAAGACTAGGCATTTGGAGACATGAAATTATAAATTAAAATAAAGCAAATTCATTTAGCATAGTGTTAGTTTCACCTAGCAAATCACGTCGGTATAGTGACTTTAGGAGACCGTCTGTGTTTATTTCATGGAGAAGAAATGATTATTCACTTATCAAAAATCCATTTTCAGTTTTCATATACAAATTGTACTTGCTAAGTGTTGTGCCCTAAAATTTACCCTCTCATTTATCAAGTATTTTCTCACAAAATCTCCTTTGGTTCAAGACTGCACGAGGGTTGATCAGCTCAAGACACCTCCTCCCTAAACATTGATGACTGAAATTAGGGTTTGAGATTGCACAAGGATAATTAAACTTTTAATACCTCATATGACTTTCATAGATCATTGTGGACCGCCAAGATTGCTCATGTCAAGTTTCAAGTCTTGGATCACATTTTTGCTCAGTCAATTGATCAAATGACCTAAAAATCAACTGTATTGGGGAAAAAGTCAATGATGGTCAATTTACAGTCAAACTTCATAATTTTATATCCATATCAACATTGTGAACTCCTATATGTCATTTGATCAAGTTTGGACCACAATTCCTCAAGAAATTTGATCAGATCATCAAAAGGGCAAAATAGTCAAAATTAGGGTTTTGATTGAGAAAGGGCAATTTCTAATTTTTGACCTAGCAAATGGTTAATTGGTTTGAGACATGATTTCAAGATTTAAATTGCATCATGTTGACCTAATGGCATGACTCAAAACATCCCTCAAGATCAATTGATTGATAGTTGATTTTCAATCAATTGATCAAAAGTCAACTGTACATTGAAAAGTCAAACTTTGACTTCTTGGTCAAAATCAAGTGTCAAAGATCACAATTCATCAAAACATGTCAAAATATGAAGCTTGTTCATAAATAAATCAAAAAGTCAAGATTTCATTTTGAAAAGTCAAAATTTCCAAACTTAGAAATTTTTCTAAGTGTTGAAAACTTCATGTTTTTTCATAACTTTGAGCCATTTTTTCACCATGGTGCAAGATGATTCAAAGGAAACTTTCAATGAAAGTTGTAGATCTCAATGATATATAAAACATTACTTTACACAACTTCTCCTAGAAATGCATGGATTTCAAGTTACGATTTTGTGAATACATGTTCATGAAACTAAACACTTAGTGAATATTTTGCCCTAGTTTAGGCATGATTATGACCTAGCTTCATGGCAATTTTTCACATAGTTCCAAGGGGAATTTTCAAAAGTGATTCAAAGAGGGGTTTTAGAGCATATTACAAGCATTCTAAAATGTCACATAACTCCTTGAGATCATGTTTGAGCAAGGAGAATCGAAGGCATGAAGTTGGCATTTCATTCTTGAATTATAGGTCAATTTTATGATGAGCAAGAATTCAAATCCATGTTTAGGCTGCACAATATTTGCTTCGCATGCCTCAAACTTGCTTGGAACTCCATAATTAATGTTTGGCACGGCTGTTAGAGGCTTCAACTCAAGCATTCAATGCATTGCCCATGCTTATTTCCATTTTGGGAAGAAAGTGCACATTGCCATTTTAGAAAAGTAGCTTTATGCACAAAATTTGTTCTTGAGCTTTGCACTTGTTCTCTTCTGATCATACATGACCTATAACCCAAAATAAATTTGTCCCAAGCCTCTAACAAGTCAGCCCATGCTTGTACTTTACCTTGAAACCATGTTTTCACTTTTCTTCAAAATCAAGTAACATAGCCATAACTTGTACTTGTGTGATTCTGACCCTCTCAAGCCTCACATCCTTTTCTTTACTTATGCACAAGTCATTTGCATCAAAACACACGCATACACAAGCCCTCAAACTCCATAGAACTCAGAATTGTATCACAAATCACCATTGTTGCACATTCTGACCAAAAACTTGAAACTCACATCTCCCTCGTGCGTTTCCAAGCCTTTTGGTTCCTAAAGCTTCTAAACATCAAATACAACTCATCCCTGACCCTGTTTCATAACTGTAACACCTCCATCATCAAGTTCCATTTTCAAAAAGAGAGCTCTACAAGTGGACTTCTCTAGAACTCCTCAACTACTTTTAGCTCAAGCCAAGCATCACATTAGCTTCCTGGGAACTTGAGGAACCTAATCCAATCACTAGAACTCATTGAAAGCTACTCAAACTCAAAACACGATACCCTATTGCAAGGTGAGTTTTCTGACTTTTGAACTATTCACATAGGCATTGTTAGGCTTGCATTTGTGAAGATAGAATATAGATATCATCACCCTGAAACTATACATGTCCATAAATTTCATTTATGTTGCTTGAGCATGAAGAATTTTGAGTTTAAACTTGCTGAAACATTTAGGTCAGGATTTGGTACTTTCATAAATTCATCTTTATCTTTGCATGTTAGCTTAAATTAGTTACATGGTTGGATTCGTGGTGAAAAAATACACAAGTTTCATGTTTACATTTTTGAAAATGGTTGAAGAATGAGCAAGTTACAGTTCCTTTGGCTGGAGGTTGAAGATGAAGTACAGTCAGGGCATGTTATGTGTTATGTATTTATTATTGTGCCAATGTTAACAGATGTATCACCACCCCAGTGGTTAAAGCGCGCGCCTTTCACCAAACGGACCTGGGTTCGAGCCCCAGCGTCCGTTTTGCTCCTTTTTTCATATTTTTCTGTTTCTTTCTTGTTTGAACAGATTTGGGCCTCCAACATGGGCCTGGTTACTTTTTTTTCTCTTTCTGACCCCTGTTTCATTTCAGCACCCCCTGACCCAAATTCATTTTTATTTTCTTTTTCTTATTATATCTTATTTATTTTCCTTTATTATTATTATTATTATTATTATTATTATTATTATTATTATTATTATTATTATTATTATTATTATTATTATTATTATTATTATTATTATTATTATTATTATTATTATTATTATTATTATTATTATCATTATTATTATTATTTTTTATTGTTATTAATAAAAACCCAAAAAAATATTTTATTTATTATTTTTACACTTATTTATTTTATTTTGTTTTATAAAATCAAAAAAATAAAAACATTTCTTAATAAATTAATTTCTTTCTTAATAATTAATATTTAGGTTTAATTATTATATTATATTATTTTCTTGTAAATTAAAATCAATTTAGAACTTAGGACTTTTATTTAATTAATTTCATTTACTAATTTAATTAAATTCACAAAAACCCTAAAAAACTTGTTTTCTTTAATAAATTAATTTTTTGTATTAACTTAATTTTAATTTTATTATTCTAGTCAATTATCTTATTTTAATTGGGTTAAAACTTTTAATACAAAAAAATCTATTCCTTATCTATTCATACTTGTACATTATATTCATTTCATTTCTTGTACATTTATTCAAATTCAATATGGTTGTAATAGATAATTAGGGTTTTAATTTCTTGCAATTCTCCATTTGTAATTTGTACACCCCCTCTCCTAATGATGTAATTGCTTAGTATTTTTATTTTCCGCAATTTAATGCTTTATATACAAATGCTAGTAATTAGGGTTTGTATGGAAAGATAAAATCAATGCTTAGAAAATCCTAATTCAAGACAAAATAATGCATGTGAATCAATACACTTGCACACTTACACCCTTAGGGTAAATCCACTTTGTTGTCTTATAAAATGGCCATATTATACATGTGGGATATCTTAGCAAAAACAAACAAAATACAAGATCATAGTCCCTCGATGGCGCTATCAATGTTGCCTTTCAAAAATTATCTTAGTCCCTTAAAGAAAATGCTAAGATATCTTACAACATTTCTAATCATGGCTATACGATGACCCTTGCCCGTCCCTTTTACATCCAAAGATAGGGTTACTTACCAAATCAATGGTAAGATAACAATGTCAAAGGAAAGAGGAAATAAACATGAAAGACTTTTAAGTAGGTAGAATGTTCCTAGTTGCTTGCTCATTTTCAAACCAAAACATCCTTGCTATTTTCAAAACAATCACCAACACTTTCAAAACACCTTTCAAACTTGAAAACATTTTCAAAGGATCAACACTTTTGTATACATTCTTACGAACG